CTTCCCTTTCCCAACCTTCCCCGCTCCCTGGCTCTTCCTCTTCCATCTTCTTTTTTCCCTCTTCTTCTCTCTCTTTTTCTCGATTCTTTTCCTCTTTTTGTTTTTAATGGCGCCCGAGATATCTCCGGCGAGGCGAGAACTTTTGCAGTTTCGAAAGGGTGGATCAGCCGAACCGACGGTGTAAGAGTCTTTCATATAACGGACTTCGATGAGGGGCTGCGTTTCGATGAAATAGAGCGAGACATTTGCAATTGAATAGCAATATCATTCTCCGATGTGCGAGTTCTCTCGAAGCCGCCCTCGCTCGCGCGACCTCCAGGTGCGTTTCTTTTTTTTTATTGTCTCGGCGCGTTTCTGCTGGTATTACTTTACCTTCCACATCTCCCGCATTGCTTAAATAACACTTTTCCGCTCTAAAAAGATATCTCGTTCCTCTTGTTTGGAATCTATTTATCCTCTTATTTCCGCATGTACAATACTTATACCAGGATCTCACTAAATTCGAAAGATACAGAATTGAATAAAGATAACCACCTCGAGATCGCGTAACTTAATTTGAAGATCCTGAAAGACACTTTGAATTCTTCGGAGAGATGTCAAAGGGCGGACGTAAAATAATAGGAAAATAATCGCGTTTCCCCGCGGAAATTCCCGTGGAATATATAGGTTGTGTGGAAAGTTTTTCTGCAAATGTCTCACGCCGGGACAATGATCGCGGTATCAGGTACAATCAGGTTCGAGAGGAAACATTTTAACGCGGGAGAAATCTTGGCCATCGCGCGGCAGCGTCGTCGGTTTCACATTTCCCAACAATGGACGCGCTTATTGGTCCGCTACGGTGCATTACACGCCGGCTTTTTAAACGCGAGCGTAAAACTCGCTTTCGCCGACGAGAGGTTTGTCGAGTCTCGCTGTATTAATCTAAAAGAATAATGTACCTCTAAAACTCTTTGGGATAGAGCCCAGAAATCCGTCATATCCGACAATCACGAAGCAATTGGGACGTTAAAACGTCGAGGAGGTGACATTTCCCGCAGTTTCTGTCTATTCGATATTTTTCATTTCCCTGATTTCTTTTGTTTCGGCGCTTTGAGCTTGCTCCTTTCTCTTTCTCTCTCTCTGCGCGCAACGCTGTTTCACGAGCCCTGATTAAAAGCGAAGGCAGAGAGGAGAATTGTCCGGATCGAAAAACGGGAAAGGGCCGTAACGAGATCACCGCGTTACAGGTCGAGGCACGAAATTGAGTTTTGATCCAATCGCACGTCACGGTCAATATCGACACAAGCGCGGATGCGTGCCCTGAGAATTTTCTTCAGGATCCCTGGGAAAGGTCCTCTCGACAGTCTCGTCGGCGTCCTTCGCTGATAATTTCAATCCGTAACTGTATGTACACGAGGTGCACGTGGCCTTCGATTTTAGCTCGTCTCCGCGTCGTGATTCTTCCGACATCCCGGAATATCTGATTCGCCCAAGTCTTTTTCTGCTCTTAAGCGTTCAACGTTTAACGAGACGGCAAAGTGCACCGAGGACGACCTGATGTGTGTGTGAGACTCTGACATTTCGCGCGAACGGAATGGTGCGAATGCGAAATTAAACAAGCCGTTAAATTCACTTTTCTCGCCGAGCGGGCAAACACACACGCCGACGCCGATGATAAACCACATATTACAACGCGATCGTTTCCCACGTGGTAGCATATTTATCGCGCTCTCTCCGGCGTCGAAGTGCCGTTTAATTGCCGCCGCGTGTAAATACGCGACGCGCGTGCACCGTGTGTGCACCGGCGCCCGGGTGTCCATTTATTTCGAGATAACGCTCGAATAAATTAATGCATCGCGATGGAGAAAACATGGTGCGCGTGCGTTCATTAATTATTACTCCCACGCGTACTTTCCTGCTCCGTAATTATTTTAATAAGTATATTCGAGGTATCAACTCGAGCATGAAAAATGGCTCTATTAATCTTCTTTCCAGGAAGATTTAAAAGAGAGAATAGTACAAGTGAGCACAATTTTTAATTTTCGAGAATCTAAATTTTAATTGGGAAGGACGATTCGAAAAGCACCGAGAGGCTTCTCGATAAAAATACTTGTAATATTTTCTTCCGCCTGTTTCCGACTCGCGTACAAACGATTTCTTCACGAGACGTAGAAAGGCCATCTGCAAATAAAGAGAAAGGGAGGCGGGAGGGAGAGAGAGAAAGGGATATGCGTGTGCATTTAAAATAAACTCACGTGTCTGGTGTAAAACCGCAAATGCGGCGCCCGCGAACGGGACGGGACGGGACGGGACGCGAGCGACACGCATCGCGGTGGATTAAGTTGCGTTCTTCACGCCGGCAACGAGATATATAGATAGAATAGAGTATTCCTTTTCTCCCATCTCTCGGCTTTTTTATTTCACCTCTCGAACCGCAGCGCGGAATGCATTTATCCGCGCGTCTCGGTCGCAGTGGCACTCGACACGCGGCCGGCGTCGCGCGATCCGCTCCGCTCCGCTCGTAGACGAGATATTCTTTGTAACGTGAAATCTTTCGCGAATGTTAAGAATCCGCGCAAAGTTGATTGTGATTAAAGCCCGAAATTATAAAAAGAAATTTCAAATTAGTCCTTGAGAGAGTTGCACATTCGTCGTCTACGTTATCTCTCTTCTATTTTTGTGTCTCATCGTGTCTTAAGCACTCTCGAGATTCCAAAGACTGCGTCCTTTGATTAGAAATCCGATAGGTGCTTATTCCACGTCGATACGCATGTCTCGTCATACGGCCGTGACTTGTCGTGCGACGCGGGTTCAAAGTGAATCGAAAGTGAACGGTCGTCGGTGGCGCGTGCGAGAAGAGGTACGACAAGAAGGAGGAGCGAGGGAGGATGCAGTCGCTTAAACTTTGGGAGACGAGAACTCTGGAGAGACTGTCGTCCCGACATAGACGCGGACGCCGTCGAGTGTCACGATGGTACAAACACGGACCCGCCCTAAACTCGCGCTATCTCTCTCTCTCTCTCTCTTTCTCTTTCTCTGTCGTCTATTAATAAACGCAAACGAATGAACCTGCCGACGAATGATTCTGACGTCGCGTCTCACACGTGTATCTTTGAATGCCTTACCGAGTGTCGAGTAAAAATCGTGGAGTTCCATCGATAGCGTCTAGCATCTTTCTTCCAGATATTCTACCGTGTGTGTAGCCTTCCGAGAAAGAAATAGGAATTGTAACAATACGGGGTCTAAAGAACTCCAGAGCGTGGAATACGACTCCAGCGTCAATTAAAGCTTAACAGCCCGGTCGATGACGTTCGTTAGCGTAATCCGTGTGTCAATTGCGTCGCGGTGGGACGCGCGTAGGACTCTCGCTCGAGTGCAACGTCCGCGCGAGTATCGGTCGAGCTTCCGATGGAAGCTTTCGGTGCGTTACGGGACAGGCCGGAAGCAGGCTCCGACGCCGACAACGACGCGCTATACGTAATCCATTAATATCGCGCGGTGACGCGCAGAAAGGGACGCGCGGTAATTAATGCGTGACGTTTAATTCGCGACGATCGTGCCTAAACCGGCGACACCATTGTTGTCGACGAGACGCGAGATAGAGACGCGCGTACCCTGCCCTCGGAATCGGCCGTGATAGTCGCGCGCGTGCGCCCCGCAGAAGGGCGCCCGATACCCGCAGAATTGTCCGTGGGAAAAATAAAAGAAAATTGACCAATTGCGAGGTGGCCATCCGCGAGGACTGCGGGAGCTCGGAGATTCGGTTCGATCGATTTTAACAATATTCTCACGATACGCACACTCCTAAAGATTTAGTCGTCACATTTACAATGTACTCCGACAGTCGATATCCGGTTTTTACATATACGTCACTGATTAGACCCTCTCAGATCGGGATCCAGATAAATCTGGATCGTATCGCAAATAATTGACAATCCCGTGATCTCGCGAATCACGCGACGTTAGCGCAACGAGACCGTCGCAGCTTTCGCGATGAAATCCGCGAAAGGACGAGACCGGCTGGTTTAACGATTTTCCGGGGACATCTCCGCGGCGGCAGACGGCTGTAACTGATGCATCTTTAATGCTGTCCTGTCGACCTGGCTCGCCGGAGAATAGCGACGGTGCGGCGCGGCGCGGTCCGCTGCGATTCTCAGCCCGGCGTTGATTCGGCGTGACGCCGCCCATCGCGCGAATCGCTCCTCATCGAGCAGGGTCACGGCGTCGCCGTCGCGACCGATAATCAAGAGTGACGAGCCTGCTCTCGTCCTTCCAACCGGTTAGACAATTATTTGAGCATCGTAATGGACGGAGAGGAGCCACGACCGTACGGAGATGATATGACAAGCGCCGGCGCCCCGTAGCCATCCCTTTTAATTAAATGAATCTCGACGGTATCGTTAAAATGAGAAGGGCGTCTTAGAGCTCGCGGGATAGAGCGATCTCGTTGTAAATCCGTTTGCTGTGTACACGTCGGGACCGCGATCGTCATTGTCGGGTCGGGTCGGGGGAAAAAGTCTGCCGCGTTGATCTCATCTCCATAATGGATTATTAAATACTCTCTCCTTCGGATATGTATTAAGCTATCGATAAGGATTCGGTTCGAAACTCGGAGTCGTCGGGCAGACGAACGCGCCTTTCTACTTTTAACTGTTTCGTGCCTCATCTTCCGCATTGTGCTTCAGTCTGACGCATGAATTATTCATCGTGATGAATTATTCATAGAAAGAGAGTACTTAGTCGTCATAATACACATTCCGCTTAATATGCGATACGACCGGCGATTTTATTATTTGCGATTTGCGTTAAGTGGTCGCGGGACTCCGCGCCGGTCGGCACGAGAAAATTTCTCGCCGACGACGGATCGGAGTTCGCTTTTTAAACGAAGCGCGGTATTTGCGATTTCCGGATTAAATCGCGTCCTTCCTGTCGATTCCGCACCTGTATATACGTTTGACACGTTCGACAAAGCGTTTCACTGGCGTTCTAACGGCGTCCTTTCGCCTTCCTGAAATTTTCAGCCAGGACCTATTGACGGTGTGCCGGGAATTGAACCTCGAGAATTCGGTGGAGGAATTGATGAGGGAATTGGGCGCGGACGAGCAGGGTCGCATTTCCTATCAAGAGTTCCTTAGGCGGCGTCTGGCCCTGCGACCGGAAATCGAGGCGCTCCGGGCCGGCAAACGGCGGAGCAGTCCCCATCACACCCACACGCCGGAGTACCTGCCCACTAGCAGCGACAACAGTCTCGGTAAGAATCGTACAAATCGCTCGTATTTCCGCGACAGGTCCCTCGCTTTCCGCTCGCGACGATAAATCGCCTTTGGTCAAGGAGAACGGGAGCCTCCGGGCGAGATCGATAAATATCTTATCCTTCGTTTGCTGATTCTGAAAATATTTGTTTGTTCAACACAAAGAATATCGCGGGATATCGCGCGTCGGACGGATGTATATCCGCGATCTAGCGTATTACGTGTGTCGCGTGGAAATAGAGCGCGAGCCGTCCGCACGAAATTGATGATTGATGGAACAATGAATGCGGGACGACCGCGGAAATACCGCAGCGGCATAATATCCCGATCGAGCGGGTCGCCATGCAACTGGATACGCGATACGCGAGATCGATGAACGAATTGGAAGTGACGACTTTTGGGATATTGCGCGTTGCCGTTTCTCGCCATTCGCCTGTCAGCCGTAAATCTTTATTGAACAACAGCCAGGCTGTAAAAAGAAACGACTCGCGATTGTTAATTTTCTAATTGTTTTGCGCTATTGTGAACAATTAGCAAAACAGAAAACTTGGCCGCAATTTTTTCCTTAAAATAATTATCTCGGAATCTTTCATTAAAAAATCGCGTTTGCTCTCATTCCTCTTTTGCTCGATTTTTTTTTTTAACGAATGCCGTACTAATACGTTACTCGTAATTTCTATTTCAGGCACTGTGTCGGGACGACATGAAAGTTGGGAGTTCGACAGCGGTGCCCGTGATTTGTCGCCGGAACCTCATAGTCTTCAGAAGCTAGTGGAGGCGGCCGCCGGCGGAACAGGAAATATGCTGGACCTCGCGAATAAGGTAAGCCGCCAACGATCCACCCTCCACGACGAACCCACTGTCAATACCGACTAGTTCTCTCACGGCATTAGATTCGTTCCGCGGTTTCGTGCGCGCGATTCTCTCGCGTGATCGCTTGGCGAACATCTGTCTTACCGTTATAAACTCCTGATGGAACCTGTCATGCCTATCATGTTCGCGCGTACATGCGTGTCGACAGGAAGATCATGCAGACCACACACTTCCTAAATTTTAGCGCTATCTATGCGTTTGCGTAATATGTGATAACTAACGCGATGCGTTACTGAAGAAAGAAGAGAGAAATCGCTGAAAGGAAGTTAAAATATCTTTTTTTTCTACATTATTTGAAATATCCGAAGTTGAAAAAGCGATCGCGTTAGAAACTATCGACTGACGGAGTCTCTGGAATACTTCTGCTTGTTAATGCAACATTCGCGCTGATGGAAAGTCAACGAGACGCGCAATTATACCGAGGCAAATTGTCTTTGCATGCCGATAATCCTCGGTTTTCCTTCGGCGAGAGCACTCACTTCGCTTAACTCCTTCATCTCTCGCCGTCCATGGCTCTCTATTATTTCCCTCTTCGTATCACGAGTTTCGCGCCTGGGAATTTCTTTGTCAGCCGCAATTAACCACGATACCACCACCGAGGCGCGGTATGCCATCGTGGATGATAGCAAGACGTGCAATTTCTGCATTCCCCTGCTTTTCCCCCGTTCGCTCGTCGATCGCCCTCGCCATGGCATCGTCTCGGTATCGAATTACAAAGTGTAGATAACACTGTCGACATTTTATCGTTTAATTTTATGGTTGTAAAATACATTCAGTCGAATTTAAAAGACTTCGAATAGGTCGTATTAACGAAATGTTAAATTATCTAACAATCTTGAAGAAGAGAGATTATCTCTAGATATTAACCGGACACGAAGCTGTAAAGCAATTAAAAGCGATTACATTTTAGATAAAATTTCACGTTAAATTCACTCCGCGAATTTACGTCACGCGCAGCATCTTCAAATTTTCGTTCTCGCTCGGGTTGCTCTTCGACGACGAAATTCCCATCTCCCGGGGCGTCTCGGTTCCGCGGATGATTCGGTTCGCGATCGCGCTCGTAACCGCGTGCTTCTTCCACCCGTTTTAAGAGTCACGACAGCTGCAGTAGAGGGAAAAAAGAAATAAAAGCGCCAACCAAATTCCGAGGTTATCGCGATTTCTCGCGAGAGCCTCCACTCCCGTGTTTCGAGGAACGAGAACACAGGAGAACACAGAAGGAGGATGGTTTCGTGGAAGGAAAAAAGAAGCGCGCGCCGTTTACTGCCTATAAATAACCGTTATTACGCTCTGCATTACGGCATCGAAAAAAAAAAAAAAGCGAGAAGGCCGCGGATCGCAGCGAGTTTTGACCGCTCGAGGAGGAACGTCGCACCACCCCACGTGGAAGAATTTATTAAGAGGATATAAAAAACAATACGCTTACAAAATAATATCTTTTCATTTATTACGAAGCTACACGTAAGCTTCCTTTAGGGCATAAGTATCTCGGCGCTCGGTGTAACGCGGCATATTTGCGTTTTAAGAGAAACGCCAAGAACTAACTCATCCCCCGTTGATGTTTTTTCTTCCTTTTGCCACCCTCGCCTGCGAATGTGGAGAAGAGCTTTCGCGCGTCGCGTTACGATCCCAACGGCGTATACGTAGGACGTCCGTTTCCCGGGAAAAGCGCAAATATGCCGCGTCTTGGGCCACCCGCCCATACGGCGGAGACGCTATCCTACGTGAAACACGAATTTCCATAGAAATGGAACGGAGAAGTCGCGGGGAAGAGAGAGAAAGAGGGAGAAAGAGAGAGCGAGAGAGACGTCGGAGCAAACGTAATAGCAATATTAATTTCCATCGTTACTCCGGCACAGAAATTACTAGAGCTGCGTTATCGTGCAGCGAGATGATACGCTAACGTTAACGCGCGATCGAGATATTCATCGCGTGCAACATCAATTCGTGTATACACATATCCATCGTCACAACTGTAGAAATTGATGTCATGCATACTTATTTCGCGAAAAAATGAATACGAAGAAAACGAGGACAAACGCGAATGAACAATTTGTTTTAATTCGGCGTTTTATTTTTTAACTCAGACGGATTATTTATCATAAATCCCACGTACCATAAACAGTGTTATTTTCACAACTGCACCATGTCTAATTTACAGTAGCTTCTTAGCAAACACAATTATATTGTATATTATATTATATGTTACCTGTTACATCTAAAAAAAAGTTATATATACCGATGAATTTGTGGCTATGCCGCGTGTGGTATCCGGAAATTCAATTAATATTCCTTAATTGTGACAAAGCGCCCATGAAAGGGAGGAAGAAAGCGAGACGGCGTCGCGTAGGAGACGGTTACGGGGACAGATTGTTATCAGAGCGTGTAAAGAAGGATGCGACCCTCGGAGCACGATGGCCCCAATAAAAAAATTAAGCCGGATAGGTGATAGGCCGTGACAAAGTAATAAAGGCCGCAATGAGATTCCATAATTCTTCGAACAAATGACCCGTTGCGAGCGATTCGTGCGCGTGATAACCCGGCGACGATCGGCCGCCTCTCGTCGAAAGACGAAGAAATATCCTGACTGGGACGGTGTTTTTCTAGGGCGGCCGATCGTTATTTTCCATCGCGACGCCCACATCCTTTCTCCCGACGATATTTACTTCCGCCCTCTCGTCGTCGGGGCCCCGAGAATTCCATACCTCCTCGTCGTCTTCCCTATGAATTCTCATGATACGCTCGCGTGACGCAATAAACGGTACGTCGGTGGTGGTGATGATACCGTAAGACACGATAAAATTGCGCCAACAGGTGCACGAGACTGAAAGGGGGGGAAAAATGATCTCGAGATCTCGGAAAAATTCATCGGCGAGCACGACGGAGACGCGTGTTTTGTGTAAATTAACAAGATCCTAGAAAGGAAAGAAGAGAGCAACTGACGCAATCTAGTTATGCGTATTGTAATTCTTACGGTGTGCGCGAAGACGATAATCGCGGTCGTCTCTACGAGACTGTGGAAATAATCGCGCGGCGAACAGGAAGACATGCTCCTAATTATACGAGGCGTCTTGCTTTCCATTCGAGCGACGGCGTTTCGGATAACACGCTCCGCTTGGCGTGTCGACATTCATAATTGCGTGGCTCGTATAAGTGCGAACAACCGGGAGTTATGTAGATCGGGAGATAAAATCGCCGGCGGCGGCGGCGGCGACGGGGAGTTTTCCCGTTTCATGCGAAACGCGAACGTGCCGAGGAAACTCCCTGCCGGAAAAAGCCACCGCTTTTCATCGTCGTCCGACCTTCGCCCTTTTTCATCTCCCTCCCGCGGGAAGGCACGCCGCGCCGTCGCGTTAATCGAGAAATTAGCGGAGTTAATTAAGACACCGCACCCAGAGGCCGTCCCGCCCACATAATTACACTAATACAATCGCTCTCTCTCGACCCTGCGGTCGTCGTTCCCCCGTCTCTGCATTTTTCGTCCTTCGATCCTCTCGTTTCGCCCTCGGTGACGTCGAGGAGGCGGAATCTCGCGACGTTCGATCGCGGCGCATTCATTTCCTCGTCATCCTCGTGCACACGTCGTTTTCGCGATTTTTGTTGTTTATCGCCGAGAAAACTGATGACTTACTGCAACCGCGCGGCAAGATTAATGGTTTGTCGCGAGCGTGAGCGGTACTCCACGATATTACCCACCGCGGTAAAGCCTTGTGTCCACGATGCTAGAAATCACTCCCAGATCTCGGAGAAAGAATTAACCAATCGCATTGATCAATTGGCCGATTTGTTTAAATGCGATTGGTCAATTCTTTCTCCGTCCGAGCTCTCGGGGCGATTTCTAGCATCGTGGACACACGAGACTTAAGAGCGGAACCGCGATGCCGCAACGGGACGTTTTTCCGCGAGACGTACATCTTAACGAATCGGACATGGGATAACTCGAAGGGAGGCGGAGCCGTTTGCGGTGATCCTAATAATTTCGCTTAAGTGTCGCTATTCGGTTAACCGCTACAGCAATCTTCTCGCGGCTCGCGGCCGCGCGCGGTGCCCGTTAATAGTCACGTATCTCTCCTCCCCTGTGATTATGTCAGCTGCGGGTTCTTCTTGTCGCCTCACCTTAAAGGGCATCCGTTCTCAGGGTCTAATGGATTCGTTTTATCTTAACCGTTTCTATCCTCGAGCCTCGCCGGGCAAACAAAGCTCTCGCGCGGTTTCCCTATCTCTCGGAGCAACGCGCGATCGATGTTCGTGCTTTGGAAGCACGACGTTCGTTCTCCTAATGAAGAACAAGATGTAGGAAGGAAAATAAAAGAAAACGCCGCAAAATATAAAGAAATAATAAATTGACGAATGGGTAGCGACGAGCAGTTTTGTTCAATCGGTACAAAGTGCAGCTGACTATAACTGCACTGATAAATTTGTAGTGTCAAGTTATACGCAACTTGAGTTATTTAACTATTCCTATAAATTGCCACTATTTTTACTTAATATGTCGTTAATTTAACTAAAACAATGTTAAGAAGACTAGAGTGAGAAAGAACAGATAGCATTAAGTACGATAGGGTTGCACGGATGGCAGAGTGTGTTAAAAAATTAAAATGTTAATTTAACTAAACCAATGGAGTTGAAATGATACTATTTTGTTGAAAATAATAAATTCTGACAACACGTGGTAGTTAAAAGTAACAAAATGTTATCTAACTCAAGGTATTGGTTTAAATTCCATCCTTTAATATTTAACATTGTGTATGGGAAATTAATTCGCGTCACGATTTGTCAAAAATTGCTTTTGTTTATCGCGAAACGTTGGCCGATCTCCAATCCGGGTTCTTAACCGAGATTTGCGCGACGCTTAACGCATTAACGGACAGGTCAGTGGGCTTTGTTATCCACCCTCTCCGCGAAACTTGCGGCGACTACATTGCCGCGTGCCACCCGCGACGTATCGC